GAATCCTTAATTAGAGCCTAATATCTAATGATGTTAAGTTTCATCCATCTTTTAATGAAAGGTGAACCATTATTTAGGTATTTATGTGCCATTCATGTGCCTCCTACTTGAGGCTGCCACTCGAGAACCTTTCTTCCCCAACAGTTATTGGCTCTATGAGCTATATGGCCTGACCATCGCCATTTCAGCTTGCTAATATTCTGAGCTATGTTGGTTACCTTGTTTCAACTGCGGATGTCTTTGTTACGAAAATAATATGGTTTCCTAGGTCGCAATGACTTCATGTAAAAACATATTGCAACTACTAATGAACAATAATTGTTGCAGCCAACAAATTATTAATAACCTTTATAATAAAGCTATTATAAAGGTCATTAATAATTGAGCTAAAGCTTTATAAATAATACGAGCATGAAAACATATTATGCGACTTTCTAGGAGCTGCTGTTGACCTAGGTCTACTTAGCAAATAGAGAAGGTTATCTTAGAGATTAATTTTGTGATACCAACCATTTCAATAGCCCGGTTTTACCACTTGCTTTGTATGAATGGTGCGAGATACAGATCGCTACATTCGTATGTATGAGCCCGGCCGTTGAATAACAATGGCGGTTGCGTCAGAACACCCCCCCCCCCCCCCAATCTTTGTTAGGTGCTACGCGGAGGAATTCTTGGAGACTGGAGCGCTTAATGCGGGACATGTGGTAATGTTATCTTTTGGTATCGTTCAGTTCAGCGTATCGCGAAGTTTCAAGGTCGCATTGTATAATAGATTATTAACTCTAATCAAAATTTCTTAATACTATATGTACAGGTTATTTTGTAGTATTTAGGGGATGTTTACGCGAATATTTACACGTTGTCAAATGAAAAGTTTTTATGGATTTTGTCGCGCTCAATTTTATTAAAATTACGAATTCTTAGCCCGGGCCAATATTATCCGGAATTAGGACATCGAACACTTGATTCTTGCCCTTTGTAGTAATGAAAAGTTAACAACCTCAAAACAGTTTTAACCGCGATAACATACGTTACATACGTTAAAAAGTTACGTTAAACATTGTCCAAGCTGACACTAACTTGTTGTCGCCAGAGATCATTTGAGCAACTTTTTACAAAGAACTTTACAAAAGTTTTTCAGCAGCCCTTCACTGAAGTTCCAAAAAGTTATCTATGTTTTTAATTAAATAAAGTTTAAAAATCGCATCATCATGTTTTTAAAGTTATATCAGTGAATCCTAACTAACTTTGGGCTAACTTTAGGTTATTTAGTAGAGAGTGCACTTGACATGACATGCCTTTGAACAATTTATTTACGTGAATAAAGTTTTAAATAAATAAATAATGTTTCGCTTATCTACGACCTAGTTAGTATAAGCTATTTTTAACTCAGAAAATATTTAAACAAGACAATGTAAAAAGAAAGACAAATTAAGTATTAATATATTCAAACAATAACCTGTGGTTTATTGTTAGCCGTAATGTAAACAAACAAGCTCTAATCGGCCGGCTTGCCCTCGGGCACAAAGCGACGTAATGTAGATCCATACGCACATTCATAATTACTTTGCTTACATAAATTAAACAACACCGTTTGACCTAATTACGCGGTAAGCGATTGATGCGATACTGGGGTAGGTTGTATGCCCCGTTACGTGTTTTACCTAAAACGTGCGTACGTCGTAGTTAATTCGTATGACTTGGATTTTTCAAGACAAATCTGGATCGAGTTCTGCATATTCCGAGTTAGTTGGTTCGCCCTTTACGCCAAGAAAGTGTATCCATTGCGCAAAACGTAAATACGTCCGATTCTAACGTTGTCCGTGCGTGTAATCACGCGGTACGTACTTTCATGACGTGATGGGGCGCTACGTGACGTGACGTCGACGTCAGCCGCAGCAGCTAATACAGTACATCAGTCGCAGATTCCGCTTTCATTTCTCCCGCCGTGATAAAAGTATGAGCAACAAGTTATTTTTGAACATGATGTCTGCTTCGATATTTGTTTATACAACTTCAGCTAACTCGATGATGTGTATTTACCTATATATAATTCTACTGTGACTATAGGCACGACCTATATGTCACCATGCTTCGAGTTAGCTGAAGTTGTATAAACAAATATCGAAGCAGACATCATGTTCAAAAATAACTTGTTGCTCATACTTTTATCACGGCGGGAGAAATGCTGTGACTAAACTCCTCCTAAACGGCTGGACGGATTTCAATGAAATTTTTTATGCGTCTTCGGGTCAAAATGGTTGCGATAGTACACTTTAAACATAGTCATAATTATTATGTGTGTTGCATAAGAGGAGAAGCAAGTATAGATTTTGATTATTAATGTTATGTAATAGTAAAATATAATAAACATATAATGTTTTATTTAAGTCTCGCGTGGTAACGGGTATGGTCAGGCACGTTCGTGTTCGGCAGTGTTCGCTGATGCACGAATGGGCAGGTCCGTCCGGATAAGTACCACGACCTCACTGGGGACCGGTGTGAAGTGAAAGTATTATACTTCTACGTTGCGTCTGGTGAGTGAGTATCTCGGGCCCACTCTATTAAAACGTGGCAGCGCATCTGCAACTCATACGGGTGTTGCAAATGTGGATCAATGGGCGGCGGTTATCACTTAACATCAGAATTGAACCGCCAATTTCCTCGCTTACCTTCTCACATAAAAAATACCCAGAAATGTAAGATAATAACTAGAGATAGCTTATTGGCTATTCGTCAAAGTTCATATAGGTACTATGCCGTGTGTATGTCTTCATTAGATATACTCGTTGAATGATAATTAGTTGAATCTTTGGCCAGGGCACAAAGACACATACACATCGCAAATGTTACACGCACACGTACACGCTAAATTGATTAGACTTCGAGTTACTGATTGATCTTACAGTCAATTTAAAAGTAAGTTTTCATTAATTACAGCAATATAAATTGGAGTCGTGATAGTCCGGCTCCGGGCGCTCGCCTTTAATTTATTATACTCGAGCCTGAGTTCGATCTCCAATCGCGGTGCATTCCGGCACCAATTAAATTTTAATTTTAAGTGCTGGCTCATTTTTTCATTAATGATAACTGACTTAGCATATTTTCGAAATAATAAAAAAAAATGTTTCAAAGATATGCGAAGTCCGCCAATGCGCAGTGGGGTGTCTGATGGACTATGCCCTAATACCCTCTGTAACAGAGGTAGCCTTTGCCCAGCAGTGAGATTTATGTATAGGCTGCTACTTTACTCTACTACTTTTTATTTCATTTATCATTCTCTCTTACTATGTTGCTCTACTGTGGATATCTTTGTAGATCAGATTGCTAGCTAACATGGCTAGCGAACATGGAGCAGCCGGTGCCATTTTCCTTCGTATTGTCCTCCGTTCTTGATTATAGGACACAACTTGTTCATGTGAAATCTTCTCTTATGCTGTGTTATTTATATACATGAATGCGGCAAACGTATATCCTGGATTAATAAATAGATATATGCTTATTTTCTTTCTGTTATTTACGGAAAATCTGCAATATTTGAGATCTTGTTAATTCCCCGGTAACATCTGCAAACACAAGCAGCAGTAGAATTATTCCGTAGCATTGACAATAACATTGAATTTGTTCAATCTGTTTTATCAAACCGCTGGTTTCGCGGCCCCGCTTTACGCTTCTCGCTATTGCTCGCTTTTATCGTTATGATAATGTAGTAAGGTATCTTAACAAACGATACGTTTCGATTAGGCAATGACATATTGCACCGTCATCTCGCATCGGGCCTTACGACACAGTCCACGGATAGCTCCCAAGGTCGCGTCAACTGCCCAGGTGATTTAATTATCACAGTTAACGCCTCACGGGTAATGTTGAACCATCGGAAGGTGACGATAGGTCTTTCTTCGTTCAAATTAAAAATGTTTATCTTATTCAATACGTCTTACCGTATTGATAGCTTAGTGTCCGGGTGCTCGCCTTTAATTTAATACACTCGAGCAACCTCAGTTCGTTCCCCGGTGCCAGCACCAATGAAATTGTCAATTTTAAGTGCTGAAGTATTACGTGCTCAGCGGTGAAGGAAAACATCGTAAGGAAACCTGCATATTTCGAAATAATAACAAAAAAATATTTCGAAGATAGGTGAAGTCCGCCAGTGGGGCCGCGTTGTGGACTATGCCCTGATACCCTCTGTACAGAGGAGGCCCTTGCCCAGCAGGGGGACATGTATAGGCTGATACTTTTTTATCGTATTGAGTTCTAGAGGAAAGGCTAATGTTAGATGGGCCATGGTGACCCCCCACCGTCGGTTGTGTTGCTTGCTATAAATATTACTTCTGCTTTGCACACTGTTTGAATATGAACAATGAAATCATTATAGCCAACATCTTGAAATGTACAATCAATTGTTCGAAATAAAACCCTTAAATAAACTATTAAATGAAATTTTAACCACTCGTTCTGTCGATATGTTATAGCTGTTTTAGACGATATATACATGAAAACGAGTCAAAAGTCTCTACGACTACGCTTTGGTTACATGGATGAGCGTTTCTTTAGCTGTTGTTTAACGACTCCTTGAAATTTAAAATTTGCATTCATTAATAAGGGAATTTACAGGAAAGTGGGTAATGTGTTATTAAATGTCCTGAAGTATTTATTGCAGTATATGAAAAAGGGGAATTCTGGTTATAAGTTAACATAAAAATCAGCATCTTTATCTGGAGCAAATTTACTCGGCTGACTCTACTGAGAAGTTGTAAATCAACTAATTAAGATCGACTCCCTTCTTGAAACTATGATTTGAGTGGTTGTTCCCAGAACATGATTGAACTCCATTTATGGTACATGAGTAAGAGATAAGAGGAAACTGTATCGAAATAAACATGACCTCACGCTTATGTCTGTACCAACACTTGTTTCGTACTCTCGTTACGGCTGACGTGCGATATTGTACATTGCTGCACATTAAAGAAGTGAATGTATCTCTTATCAAGAGCTCGCCAATGCTCCTACTATCCTACAGGTATTCCTGTTTCTTTTTATATGCACAATTTAATTTTTCAAATGAGAAGTCCATATTGCATCGTGTCATCGTTTTCCTTTACTGCACGGGACTTGTGTGAGTAACACGTAATTGTTCCCTAATTATAATTTGTGTTTATGCAATAAGAGAAATCGGAATTGCCTCTGGACAGTAATAGATAAGTCAAAAACTAAAGACCTTGTTAAGTCCGTATATAAGAAAATAGATTTAAATGATTTTCTTAAGCTTTTCTTCTAAGTTAATTTACTTGACTTTATGTTTTAACTTAACACAATTGGTTCTTTTGTCAGCTGCCAAACTGCGGCCCTGGGGGCGAGACGCTTGCACCGGTCTTTGCTCGCTCTTGACTTTTGGTTGGTGGTGTTCAGTGGGTTCGGTGGCCCGACGCCCTTCCGGCTCCGGTTCACCGAGGTGAAAGCTGAAGTCGTCAGTCGACGTTACGAGGATGCCCTTTGGTCTCACGGACCAAAAAAAGTTTTTGTTTAACTCCTTACCTTTCTCCGATTATTTACCGGAGATTGGGTGTATTTTGTATTCATTTTGAAGTCCTCGACTCACCTCATGGCTCTTTTTGTTTACAAAATAATATTTCACTATGGTAGAGCCACGCAGCAGCTTCTGTTTTTGCATAACTAGGGAAGTACCTCAGCCTCACAGAAGACCAGCGTGAAGTAGAAGCATATAATTTTGCGTTTTGAAATCATATAAAAATACCATGTCAAGAGGTTTTTAATATTTCTTTTAAAACTGACGATCACTTAAATAAGACGTAACTTTTAAATCTAAATTAAAAATCTAAGCTAGGCTTTATCTAAGTTTTAAATTCAATTATTTATATAGATCGTCAATGTACAGCATCATTTGCAGCGGCAGTGCATCTGTAAAACCAATAAGACTGCATGTGAATAATTTCTTATACAATATCTGACCATAAATACGGTACCTGTAGTGCTTAACTTTTAACGCTCCTATTTCAATATTTTTTATTATAACAATAAAATATATTCCCTTGCACGCACCATACACATACACATTTTTAGTGTTCTTTTATGTATCCATATCTATTTGTGTTCCAAAATATATCCCATGAATGTGAAAACCGTATTTAAAAACTAATAATAGTAGCAGTTATTTTTGGATACAATTTTTGGCAAACAGTCAGCTTCAAAAAACAGTAAAATATAATTAAGCTTCGGATTATCCTTGTGTATGTGCCTTGGCTTTGAGTGTCCGCTCGGGCATGGCGACACCCTCCCTTAGCCACTCGCGCGATACAAAACTGGGAGCTTACCTTAACCGCCAGGAGTCGTAGCAAAGTTTCGAAAGAAAGGATATCGTTTATTGTAATACAAATATATGCATGCGGCTGTGATCATTTACCATCAGTTGTGGTGTTAAATCGAATTGTTCGACCATATTCACCGTTCAGTTCGCAATATTCCTCGGCCTAACCTTGCGCGTAGCTTAACCCAATTCGTGATAGGGAATACCTAGAAATTGTTGTGAGGCGCCACCTCAGATAAAGATGTGGGTGAGGTTGGGCATGCAGCGATTACCGCTGACCTGGAAACGCGCCTGTCGTACTATTTGTTACCTATTGTTACCTCGTCAGTACTTCTCATAAATCCACATAATTTTGAATGTCCAATTCGATTAGAACGCTTCGCTTTCATTGTCATCATCGTCATTTCAATGTGTTTTTGTCTACTGCTTGATATAGGCCTCCCCCACAGACTGCCACAAAGCACGATCCTGAGCAAATGGCATCCATCGACTCGTGCGACTCCCGCACACTTGCACAGGTCATCAGTCCACCCACCGACCAATTGGGTTCTGCCCGTTGTTCTATCTTTCATTATATTACTCTCGACGCCACTCGCTGTGTTACTCTTATATCAAGTCAAGTCTTCAATATAACTGTAAATGCCCTACACTTACCAAATCTGATCGTATTGTTTATAAACTTTAACGACAGGCTACTTGAAATGGGCAGTCAGCTCGCCGGTCCGATCATCCGAACCCACTGTTTGAAAACTTTTTTATTACGGCCGATACATTCTCGTATCTCATGCAGTTTTAAGAAATTTATTAAAGAAAAACTTTAAAAAGGGTTATTATAATATAAATGAGGAACCTCATTACTAAACGGTGGTAGATTTATAAAATTACTATCGATTGAATAAATGTATATTTCTTACTTCGATGAATAAATGATTTGATTTGACAAGTCAAATTATTAATTGAAGTAGATATATTTCAAATAACAAGCTTTATAACGATAAACGATTAATGGTGCGTGTTGCAGCTTCCATATCACATATTCATAAGCATAAAAATTTCGAGGAAATCCACACATCAATTTATTCCGCAATGGACTGTAAATTCTAACCGAAAGCTACTTCGCTTTGAAGAAAATTAGTAACAAGGGAGTGGGGAACCATGATTTTAACAAGCCTGCAATTGAACAGCAATTGATCATTGTTGACCGGCTATTGTCTGAACCTTCATTCAATTTCAAAATCAAATTTATTTATTTAATATATATTTTATAATTTCTTTATTTAATTTATGCTTATTTTAAGCTCTTATTGAACGTCAAAACTACCACCGGTTCATTAAACTACCTGAAACTCTGCGGTCTTATTTTTTTTTTAATGTTACAAGAATAAAAAATTACTCAGGTTTTAAATCAGTAGCAGTCAGGGGACTTGAAAGTGCAGAGCAAGAGTCATTTCAACACATCCTTGTCCTCAATATATTCTTCTACATTATTATAGAACCTTGCTATTAGGGTAGCTTTTACAAAATGTTACATTACCTGATTTTATCACGAATTATAATTTTTTTAAGTAGGCAATATCTCTAAAACAAGGTAACACGACATTGTAATATTTTTAGCTGTATTTTATTTATACACCTTAATCTGATCGACTTGAGCAAATCAAGTTTTTTGAATTTTTCTCCAGAAAAGGTGAAATAAATATGATAAAATAGTAAAATGACAATATGGAGTTGTCCATATGGGTCATTTTGCTACTTTGTCATTACACTACAGCAAAAGTAATATAAATTAGCTTTAGAAAAATCCAAACGCAAGAATTAGCCCGAGAAAAGAATTGTGTCTACCAGCCAGTATCTGGAGTTACAGATAACGATAACAGATCCTATAACGGGCATGGTCTTGCGTCGCAGACAGTTTATACAAACTTTTTTCTGCAACAACGTTCAAGTGAGGCTAGTTTAGTTTATATCCTAAATTCGGCGGATGCTTAGGGTTGACGCGAATTGTATTCACTTATGGCCACTAGTATTGCTTCTGACACACATCACCAGACTGTCGGCCAAGTGGCAGATGCCTTCATGACGCCCTCAACACGGTGGGGAAGATACCGAAAGATGCCGGAAGATATCACTGTTAATAAATGGCAATGAGGAAATTATTGTCATTCGCTTTTTCAATTCTAATGTATGCTCTACATAAAAATTAGTCCAGTTCGAGAGATTTGTACTGATAAAAAATGCAATGAAGACAGCAACAAAAACGCGCGACAAATTGGCGATTGCAATAAAAAAGTTACAAATGCGAGCATGCGCTCGGTGGAGATTTTCGCGTGACGCGATCTACCTCCGTGCACAAACCTTATTAGGAACCAAAAAACCTAATGGTGTTTTATTATACGGTAATCTATTCACGATAAAAGCCTATCAGCGCCGTTGCCGACCGACTCGCGTTGAATTTTAATTGGGCTATAGATTAATGTTTTAATGGATGGCCCTATTGATGGCCGCCTAAATGGAGCGATCGATTTCTGTAATGCCATCACTACCCGGCGGCGTGATAGCCCCGGAAAATACACATTCCGGCACAGGATGCACGAATCCCACCCAGAGCTTGGCACGCTTTTATATCATGTTCATGACTTTGATGTCATGTTTGGAGAGACCGACATATTTTCGAAATAATAATATAAAAATATATAGGAACATATTTCGAAAATATGTGAAGTGTGCTAATCCGCACTGGCGTCGCGTGGTGGACTTAACTATCCTCTGTACAGAGGAGCCCTTTGCCCAGCAATGGGATACGGATAGACTGTTACTCTCATGCGCTCTACTGTACTTACTATATATACTTGCAGTAATTAGCACGTGTAATAATATGTTTCCGTAATACCTGTAATTTCTTATAGTACTCTTAATGTGCTTTTTTAATGTGACTAACATGACATTGTTAAATATTCAATCTGCACGCAGTTCTAACAATGTGCATTATTATGTGTCTTGTTTAGCATGCACGCTCTACCTAATCACGCTTTAGACCTATTTAAAAAAAAAACACTTTTATGAGAATAAACGACCTATACATTCCTGAACATGTTCCGAATACAGAATAGGACCAAACCACTGAACACATTTTCAAAATTATAATAATATTAATAAAGGTTGATTCGCTTTAATATCTTATGGATCCCTTCATTAAACAAATGCGGATCTACACGAACTAAGTGCTGAGGCTTTTAACAGTCTTCGCATAATGTAATCACTATCACAACGACTCTTATGACAAAAATAGAATAAAATAAATACGTATGTAAAAGTACGTTTAGAAAGAGCTTCATGAATCGTCTGAATAACTTCAACGAGGCAGGTGGCCTGGAAGCTACACTACTAAATACGACTAAATGGTAATTTCCGAGATTGAGAAATTTTCGGTTTTGTATCAATTTCTATACACTTAAAGCCCCGGAGCGACCGAAAAGATGTGTGTTTCTTTTTCAATTTGTTATCCTGAAAGCCGAGTTGATACCTGTTTTGCTGATCTACTTGAACAAATTGGCGCGCACACCTTTCCCATACTTCCACTGGACTTTTAAGGGCTACCTGAACGGTCCTGAGTATACTCAGGACATATCCTGAAAGACTTTTCCGCCTTATTTGTAAATGTCGTGCAGCTTATCATTATAAGTAGAAACGGAATCTAATCTTCAGTTATTGTTAAAAAAACAAATACTACGTCAAGCTGGTAATTTTAATTTTTTTATAACTCGACCGTAATTGTACATGTTGCGTTAATTACATGTCTCGTGTTTTATAATTACAATTTCTTAACGCGAAGAAAATAATTATATTATTTTGACGGGTTTTGCGAATCTGGAACGGACGCAGGTCACTCGGCCAACGTTTAAACCTAATTAGATTTAAAGGTTAAACTTTCAGCGTTAATTGTGTACGTTGTACTTCTGTTCTCCACGTGGTACGTACGCCCCGATTCGATATTAAACTATTAATTACATCGCCTGCCTCTAACCCATTATTCCTATTCCACCAGCGACAATGAGTACTTTAAGTTTATCATAGCTCGATTTAATGTTGAGGTTCTTTTACACAAGGTTCTTTTTTATGGAATATTTAGCAAAGAAACAACTATTCTCGTCACCAAATAACTATAAAAACGTTGCCGGTCTCTTCTGGAGGTGCCTAAGTCGTATCAGTTCGGAAAAACCGCTCGTGATAATTGATTCACAGAGTCGTCGCGCATGGCAGAAAAAAACTTGGAAAAGGGCACAGTTGGGGTTCATCTGATAAAAAAAATGCAATAAGACGGGCCATCTTTATTCAAGGCAGAAACGTCAAGACAATACGAGCAGCCTTGCATTTGATGCGTACAAGTAGATGGGGCTGGTATACCGAAGGAAATTTGCGCTCCTCTTTAATTCAATGATTTGTGGTTTCTATTAAAAGCAGCCCTTTGCCCCACAGTGGGACACATATATATCGCTCGGAAATACCTGTGATCATAACGACGTGAAGAATCCAACATAATGCATACAACTTTATCATTTGCGTAGTAAAGTTTGTGTGATTTAAAAAGAAATGTAATTTATAGGTCCACAACCTCTTTATTTTAATGGATCAGTATCCTACTACTGCCAGGTTTTAACCGTCTTCTCCTTTCGCCCTCCAATCTACTGTCTGCCGTGAGTGTCGCTTGCAAAATGATTAAATCTGTTGGTACGAGATCTGCTAACTCGCTTTTGAACGTGACCAAAAGTGTCACACTATCGCCAAGAAAAGCCCAGCTGATGAAGACATATTCATAGTCTTATAACAATTTTTATGTATGTTATATACACACACTTTACACGAATTTATATAAACCTAAAATAAAACTCACTAGTATCTCCGAGTGATTTGTTTTAGCACCAAAAAATTTTCTACAAATATATTTTAGGTACTACTTATTTTTAATCCTTCAACTTTATGCCCTATGAAAAAACCTTGTGATGTGCTCATTAGTTGTACTGCAATGTGTACAGTGAATTACGTGACGGTTATGTAGTGCCCGGAATCCTAAATTATGCGAGGGCTCCTTTTCGTTTCTCGCTCGTAGTGCGCTCACAGACTACCGCTACTTACCTCCAGGCGGAATGGGTGATTTTATTATTTGTCAATAAAAAGAACGGGTTAATGTGCGCCCTCCTTCCCTGACCCACCACCTCCCACCTCGCTATCGACATCGGGTGCCGTGATGCATCGCTGTCAATGCCTCCGAGCGCGGGGTGATAGTGGGCGAGGGGGCAGGGGGGAGGGGGAGAGAAAAATTGATGATCTATAAATATTATGCACACCATTAGGTTATCTTATCGCGTCGCTAATATAAAAACAATCGATTCGAAACGACCGTCCGTCCGCCGTAATGGCGCTCGGTAATAAATGAGCGGTGCCCACTTCCCAATCGGCGAGGCCTAGTACCGCGCAGAGAGCGGCGGCCGCGCAGTCGACCACGTGCCCCGCGAGAGAACAGCGCCAACGGCGAGCGTGCAGGTGCACCCCCTGCCTTTGACAGAAACACGTAAGTCTGCACCGCCGTTATTTAGATAGGGCCAAGTCCAATCTGTCGCAATTATTTGCACGCTCCGTTGAGAAACCTTTCGCGAGAATATCGTCATTCTTAAAAATAGTAATAATGTTTTCAGTTCTACGGACTTAGCAAAACTTCCCGGAGCGATTCCGCAGACTAACTCAATTTATTCTAAGTAAAGTTCTATAACAGCAGAAACAAAAATAATATGTTAAATTTAAATTTGGCTCATAATCGTTTTCGTGTGGGGAACTTTCGTTTATTATTTATTTCTTGAGAGAGAAAACTAGTCTTTCAGTTGTTATGGGTTCTTGTTCTGCAAATTGCGCCACTTTAAATTTTTCCAGTGGTTTAAACAAAGGTAAACTAATTTGCTGTATAATATTTTGAACCGAAGGGCTTCTGCGAGACGTTCGATTGGTATTTAATTTCAATCAAGTTTCTTTAATATGAAGTTGTAGGTAGTATGTGATTGATTCAGGAAATCTATTGTTCAGTAAGTCTTTACTTCGTTCGGATTCGTAGGGATGCTGCATAAATTTCACTGTATTTCTCGCGTTTCAAATAAAAGCTCGCTTACCCGAGGCGGTGCTTTTGTTTGTTTTCGTGCATTGTTTGCGGGAGCAGGGGGGGGGGGGGCGCGGTTCGTTGTTCTCTTATCTTTCATTTCACCATCGACTGTGAGGAATTACTAGGCATTCGCCATGTTGAATCCGACCAAACTTCTCAAACAATCTCCATATGTTCAATTGAAACAATTGAAAACATTCTGTTGAAGTTCAGTGTTCCTTCTTCCATTTATTGAAAAATAAGCAACAAAGTGATTTAAAACTTACGATATATATGTATAAATAACTATAGCGATAAAAGATGATGTTTTCTCCGTAATTATGTTTTCCTTGTTGTGGTTAATTGTTTTATTCACCTTTTTACTGCGATTATTATCACTAAGGTCGTCAAAATGACATCGGTAACAGTAGCCTATGTCATTTCACTTAACATATTACGTTAATGTCTAATTATTTGATAATCGTAGGACAGCACGGACGGACTGACGTTCTCTGTTTAGTACCAACGATACCAGTGATGACGATAATATTAATTAAAATTAATCATCATTCCATCAAAATTAATGTTTGCCGAAGAATTTGGCAGTGAAAACGGGTTAAAAGATAGTTGAGGATAATTTCACGTAGTTTCTCCGATGAAATGTCCCTAAACCTTCACGGGGCGTGATTCGTTGTTCGTTCGCAAACGTTGAATAATGAAGAGCGCATTCTCATATCCATTGGAGAACAAAGCGGTGTCACGAAGACGTACGTGGCGCGCATGCAAATTATGTTTAAACACAAAAATCATGTATATCTGGATAAACCTTGGGCTTGGCTTGACGTTTGTACAGTTAACCACGCTATTTATTCGGAGGTAATTTTTCTGACGGCGAATTTAATAAAATAGCTTTTGCTGCATTTTTTCGCAACGGAAATGGTCATGTATATTTACTCATACTTAAATTTGGTGAATTTCAGTTCGTTTTTTTTTTTTGTTAAACATTATTAAACAAATAATGCAATTTAAATCCCTCACGTTCATCTGTCATAGCCGAACAGTGAAAACAAAGTCTGAAGACTCTCTTTGCCATTTATAACGTTAAGAGGTTCCAGTCGTGCGTACGTCGACCTTCCCACGACCTTCCCAGCAGTGGGCCGCGTGACGTCTCGAGCGTATCTCTTCGCATTCGGGCCGCGTGTGGAAGTTCCGCTTTCGCTCCGGCTGCCGTAACACTTTCCATTTCCGACCCACCGAGTCCTACGGAATTTCGAAGATTCTATTCTCAAGCGATCGATTTCGCACTGAATAACAAGGTTTTATTTATAACCTCAACGGCCTCAACAGTTCTCTCATTGTCTAGATTCTAGGAACGGCAATACATACTTATCGAACACGTACACAAACACTAGGAGATCGGTCCGGAAGATTGATTCATTTACATTGCAAACGTGTAAGCGACGCAAGGCACGTGTCGGTTGACGTCAATCCTCACCAGCAGTATGCAAGAGCTGAAAAGGCGCAAGGTGCTGCCGACTTGATTATGAGACCCGCGCAGGTTATATAGGGACAATGGGTAAAGTAAGAAAAAAAGACAATAACACAATCGCCGATCGCTGATGCCGCATCCGAGAAGCACGTGAGGTGATCGAGCCAATTGGAAAACACCGCGGCTCGCGTGTGCCGCCTCCATTTATTCCCGTTATATTGTGAAAGAACCAATCGATTCACATCGCACGCGCCACCGTGGCCGTTCGATTTTATTATGTTGTACACCGTTAGATAATGTAGGTGGATCAGCTACTTCTTTTATCAACATTATCTTGCCCTTATCCCACCTAGATGGCGTAGATAGAACATTTTAATCATGTTGTTAAGCCCGCCTGCCTCTTTAGGGAGAAACATCCATATCCTGAATATCATCTAATAGTCTTGAAGAGTAAGATAAATAATTATACTTATTCCTAAGTTAATACGTTACTATGGTAAATGTTTTTTTTATACTCTCTGGTTTTATTTAGTGACCATAGTAGTGACATTGTTCAAGATCAAGTTTTTTTTTAATGTTATTTTGATTGGTTTTCTGACAAAATGCTTCTGTAACGTATAGGATACTAGGCTCTGTTCTTTATGTATAAAAAGTAAACACATAAACTAACAATTAAAAAAAACCTTAAACGGATATGAGCGAGTTAATTATCGTTAAATGCAAAAGAGTCCTGGAGTGGACTACAACCGTTAGTGCACACTCGCGGTCCGCGCCGCCCTTTCCAAGCGTGGCTTTGGCTTGGCGCTCGCAGGCGAATGCGCGCGGTCGCGGTATTTGCGGAGTTGTGCGTTACGCAACTGTCCATCTTGTCGCGTCTTCTCACTGTTGGAAGCGACAGTTGGATCATATTTTGATCGTATTTTTGATTGATGGATTCCCAACGACTTAAATTAACAACAACTACCTCAATCGCATTATTAAGTCATTAGCTAGTCATGACTATTATTGTATATACCTAAAGACCATTAAAACGGCAACTTCTGCCTAATGAGCATTGTTAGTACATACAAAATTGTATAAATAAATACTTGTCGTAACATCATACTTTCGAGCTATTGTTAATTTCATCATCAATTTCACAATAAAAGTAGGAAGTAAAACAGCAACAGCCTTTTGAAATAATAAAAATGAGCTTTGTCTGGTTGTTGTCATTGTTTAAATACGAAGGCGTTCGTACTCTCGTGGACAGCAGTGTTGTGGTGTCGTAGTTTTTTTTAAATATTATTTCAGATCGCAAACAGAACATTACACTTGAACATTTTGTATAGAAATGTCTAAAAAATATATTATCGAGCACAGTCATGGTGTGACATAAATAATGCTTGTCGACAGAGGCTCAGAATCGAGGCTATCCGGCGGCGCTCGCGATGAAGGTGTGGGGCGCGCACGGCGAGTTCTGCGCGCGGCACCAGTGGGAGGTGATCGTGGCGACGCTGGCGCTGCTGGCGTGCGCGGCGAGCGTGGAGCGCGGCGGCGCGGCGGGGCGCGTGCAGCGCTGCGCCGGCTGGGCGCGCGCCTGCCCCGGCCTCGAGGCCGAGTACCAGGCCGCGGACGCCGTGGTCATGACCTTCGTGCGCTGCGCCGCCCTGCTCTACGCCTACTACCAGGTGTCCAACCTGCAGCGCATCGCCTCCAAGTACCTGCTCATCATAGCGGGCGTCTTCTCCACCTTCGCCAGCTTCATCTTCACCTCGGCGCTCGCGAGCCTCTTCTGGAGCGAGCTGGCGAGCATCAAGGACGCGCCCTTCCTGTTCCTGCTAGTGGCGGACGTGGCGCGGGGCGCGCGCATGGCCAAGGCGGGCTGGAGCGCCGGCGAGGACCAGGGCAAGCGCGTGGGCAAGGCGCTCTCGCTGCTGGGGCCCACCGCCACCCTGGACACGATGCTGGCGGTGCTGCTCGTGGGCGTGGGCGGCCTCTCGGGCGTGCCCAGGCTCGAGCACCTGTGCACCTTCGCCTGCCTGGCCCTCCTCGTCGACTACTTGGTGTTCGTGACCTTCTACCCGGCCTGCCTCTCGCTGGTGGCCGACTTCGCGTCGGGGCGGAAGGAGATCGCCGCCGACGGCCTCTTCTCGGAGGCCGAACTCAAGCCGAACCCCGTGGTGCAGCGGGTGAAGATGATAATGGCCGCCGGGCTGCTGTGCGTGCACCTGACCAGCCGCTGGCCCTGGAGCCGCGACGGCGGCTTCTTCGAGGGGTCGCTCGGCGACGACCTCAAGCCCGCCAACCAGGAGAACGTGCTCTTCCACTCGTACGTCAAGTGGTTCTCGGTGAGCGCCGACTACATCGTCATCGCCACCCTGCTGTGCGCGCTCATCATTAAATTCATATTCTTCGAGGAACAGAAAAACTGGATAATCGACATGAACGACATGACGGTCAAGGAGGTGGTCCAGAACGAGAAACCAGTGTTCTCGCTCGGCGAGGAAACCAAGAGCGACGTATGTACCCAAACGGAGGAGCCCATACCGAGCGAGGAAGCCGAGTGGCCCGTTCTATCGCCGAGCTCCTCCGCGGCAAAGCTGAACGCGAAGAAGCGCTCGATGGCCGAGTGCCTGGAGATCTATCGCTCGGAAGGATTCTGCACATCACTAAGCGACGACGAAGTCGTCATGCTCGTCGAACAGTCGCACATACCGCTGCACCGGCTGGAGACAGTCGTGTGCGACCCGCTCCGGGGGGTCCGGCTACGCCGCAGGGTGGTGGCGGCGAGGTTCCAGATCGATTCGGCCATAAAACAACTGTCCTATCTTAACTACGACTATAGCAAGGTGCTCAATACGTGCTGCGAAAACGTCATCGGGTACGTGGGAATCCCTGTGGGCTACGCGGGGCCGCTGGTGGTGGACGGCAAGCCGTACATGATCCCCATGGCGACCACCGAGGGGGCGCTGGTGGCGTCCACCAACCGCGGCGCCAAGGCGATCGGCGCCAGGGGCGTCACCAGCGTGGTGGAGGACGTGGGCATGACGAGGGCGCCCGCGGTCAAGCTGCCCAACGTGGTGCGCGCCCACGAGTGCCGCCAGTGGCTGGACAACAAGGACAACTACGCGATGATCAAGGAGGCCTTCGACTCCACGTCCAGGTTCGCGCGGCTGCAGGAGGTGCACGTGGGGGTCGACGGCGCCACTCTCTACCTGCGATTCAGAGCGACCACCGGCGACGCGATGGGCATGAACATGGTCTCGAAGGGGGCCGAAAACGCTCTGAAGCTGCTCAAGAACTATTTCCCCGACATGGAGGTGATCAGCCTCTCCGGCAACTACTGCTCGGACAAGAAGGCGGCCTCGATCAACTGGGTGAAGGGGCGCGGCAAGCGGGTGGTGTGCGAGACGGTGATCGGCCAGGAGAGCCTGCGCAGCATCTTCAAGACGGACGCGAGGACCATCGCGCGCTGCAACAAGATCAAGAACCTGTCGGGCAGCGCGCTGGCCGGCTCCGTCGGCGGCAACAACGCGCACGCGGCCAACATGGTGACCGCCATCTTCATCGCCACGGGGCAGGACCCCGCGCAGAACGTGACCAGCAGCAACTGCTCCACCAGCATGGAGGTGTGCGGCGAGGGCGGCGAGGACCTGTACGTGACGTGCACCATGCCGTCGCTGGAGGTGGGCACGGTGGGCGGCGGCACGGTGCTGGCCGCGCAGGGCGCCTGCCTGCAGATGCTGGGCGTGCGCGGCGCGGGCCCGCGGCCGGCCGAGCACTCGGCGCGCCTCGCCGCGCTCGTCTGCGCCACCGTGCTGGCCGGCGAGCTCAGCCTCATGGCGGCGCTCGTCAACTCGGACCTGGTCAAGTCGCACATGCGCCACAACCGCTCCGCCGCCAACGTGAGCGCCCCCGCCGCCCCCGCCGCCCCCACCCTCCCGCTGCCCGTGCCCGGCTTATAACGAATTCGGTGTTGATTTAAATCATACGTTCAATGCGGCATGTTGCCGGAGCGATTAAGGTGCACAACTCCTATATCGCTTATATCTTCAGATTTCTTTCACGGACTGGGTCGGAAACGCAAAATTAAATACAATATTATTATTATTATATCATGCTTATTGTAATGAGGGACTGAGTAATCGAAAATTTCACCTTTGGGTGAATTGTATTTGTACATTATTCGTATATTATGATGTATTTCCACATCAAACTAAACGTATGAAACTAATGGTTTCTGAGTTCGTCACATAATTTTATGCACGCTTGAAACCTTCGAAGAACGAACAGACAATAAGTAGTAAGTAGTCGGTGGGGCTGAAGGCAGACTAGAATTTCGTTTGCAATGTTTTCGCCCCGTCCTAGGTCACCAAACAGCACAACTAATTGCTGAAGATTTTATGACGGGCGCTTTTTATGTTAATTTAACTTTAGCCAATGAAAGTCAATTTTCTTGCCCCACAAGGCGTAGCGACCGACGACCGTTATCATACATAACAAACCGTAAGCGATTTAGATAAATTGTGATGTCTCAAAAGGCCGCCGCATACATTTCGCGAGACGTTGTTTTTGCCAATGGTTTATTGTTTTTTTCTTTAGCGACGCTTACATAACGATGGTTGTGCAGTTCAATTTATTTTCAATCCGGAATAAGCTAATTTCGCTCTATTTATAGCAAACATTCTGCAATAAATTATTATCGTGTTATGGTCGTTGATCACAGTTTGAAAAATTCAATTCTTGTTTCGTTTAAGCTCGCGACCACGTCTGTATTACTTCAGTTTAAGGGTGTTAACATTGTAGAATCGTTAAATTGAATATTTTAAAAGCAATTAAATAAAAGCACAAGTTTCGCATTCGTCGTCGAGTTGGTCTTACCGCCCATCGGCACCGGTGGCTTTCCGGGATCGCCCTTGGCATTGGCCCCCCACGGCCCCCCTGTCACCCGCCACCTGCCACCTGCCACCTGCCACCTTTCGCAAGTCGCAACAGAGCCCGAGCCGCCGCGGCCGCGCAATCGCTTACGACATATGGCTACACTTCACTCCGGGCGCTGCGAAACCGTTTTCAAGGCGAAATTAATATGCATATGAGGTCATTATTCGTCAAATGCTACGCACGAACGTCGTGTTGGAGTGCGCCTCCTTTCCCCTTGCTCTTGTCACGTTCTTTCGGTTTTTTTTTTCTCAGAAATATATGTATGTCATTAATTATTACGTACACATTTTACTGGAATCAATTAATTTGAACGGTTTGCTTAAATGCAATATTAGATAATAATACGTTTGTACCCAGCACAATCGGTCTTTTTTACGTTAACGTATTAAGGACAAAATATAAAAAATCCAAATATTCCTTATATCCATCTACGGATGCGCCCCGGCTTTGTCCAATCTGTGTCCTTGTTTTCTCCCGAGTCCTGTGCCTTGCACGCCGCAATTCGATGCGGAACATTGAGCGAATACAAAATCCATTGTCTAGTGTCACTCGCTTCACGACTCTACCGTGAGGAAACTCTTACTTATAAAGTAACCCTAAATATTATTTATATAGTTGTAAAGAAACGAGAGGAGTCGAATCGTGGTTGGAACGCGCGAACGTAAATTGTGCTTAATTGTAACTTGTAACTTAGAGCTAGATTATTCGTCGAGCTCAGTGGATGGGGATGCTGCGACGCAGCAGTAGTTACTAGGAGTAGGTACTTACATGTTAGATTTAGAGGGTCGCTCGACTGTTGAATGATTGTATATTCGTCTTCCATTTTGTGTAATATTTGTTGTGGACTCCTTGTCCAAATGCACTGCGCTTCAATTATTTGTCGCGGAATAAGGGGTGTTGTTAAATAAATATTTTTGTATAGAAATGAGTTTCTTTTCTCCAATACCCAACTCAGATATTCAGTGTTCGTTTGTGATGTTATTAATCGACGATCTTAAAAGCTGGCGGTTTAGCCCATTGACATTTGCGACATTCGTAGGGCTGCAGATGCGCCGCCACCTTTCGATAAGGTGAACCCGGGCAACTCACCTTCAACTCAACTCAACGCAAATTCACTCAGCAGACGAAACCAGCGAGTTCAATACTTCCACTTCATGCCGGTTGTCGTGAAGAGGACGAGATAGTATTAAATAATCCTAATGAGTGTGTGATGTGACATCACTCCGTCTTTCTTGTTCGTATTATGTTGGAGCGAGTGGGTTGTTGCAGAGGCTGTGTAAGCCAATTCAGCAACTTTTCAATAACCGTGGCTTTTTCAACAAAACAGGTAAGATTCAGTACGTGTAATCGAGGCGTTAAAGGCGGTAGTCACAGATCAGGCTGCGACGAGTCTCGCCGTTAGTAACCGATGTCCTTGGCTGTCTGCGGACATGGGAAATCAGACTAGAAACAGTTTTCAAACTAAATAAGTTAAAAGGGAGTAGGGTGCCGCCTTTAGGGGAGGTAGGAGACAACTACGGGGTGTTTTCCCAAATATTATCAGTGTATATGATTAGCGAGTGCATTTTTTTCCCAAATATTATCTGTCTATAGTATTAGTGTCTAGTTTGGCTACACCGGCCTTGTGTGCGGCCGTGGTACTTCTCCCGACGACAGCAGAAAGTACTGGGTGGACCAACCACAGTATGTTAACATAGTGAATGTGTTGTCTCTTATAATTGATTAGTTCAACTCAGCTGTTAAAATAAACCTAATTGATATACATTTCTCTAAATCGATAACCGTACCAATGGCCGATCCATTTAAGTTAATTGGCACGACAATTAGCTAAATTTTTTTTACGGAATGCGACAACGACAAGTGAAGAAGCCTTGATTTATTGTTTAATTAATTCATAAAGAACAATGCCCATTTTTGACCTGATTGTGTATAGAAGTGAAATAAATATTAAAATTTAGCTAATTTCATTTTATAGTAATTACACTAATCACAATGTTAAAAGAAGGTCGGGAAAAAAATTTTTTTTGATATTTCTTTACGCTTATTTTACTTCAAGGGTAAACATATTACGATGTTTTGAACGCACCTTAACAATCCTTTGCATAGGACGTTCCATTTTTCACACTACATATTTGACTGTATTCAACTTTTTCTGAGTTTTGTACGTGATTTTACGTTTTAGAGAAGTGAGTAAGCACGTAATTAACAGTATTTGTATAAAAATTAAAATCAATCTTATTAGTAGTACAGATTTATTAAAAATAAAATAATAAATTATTAATGCAGCATGTAATAAAGTTCGCACGACTGACATAGATGTTTTTTTTTGACATTTGACAGTTCTGCGAGTGACTCATACTCATCGCCACTCATCGGTATTCGCCAATAATTGTGAGTATTTATGTTTATTTTTAATCTTAAAATGTCAATCATGTCCTAATGAAACTAACAAAGCTCCTATAAATTATACCTGTGAGACATAACACAAACAACTGTTCAAAAGATCTATATATCCAAAATATTATAAACTCAATATATGTTTTTTATTTCAGATTACTGAGGAAGGTTACATTTGTAAATCTTGTAATGAACTCTTTATGAGAAGAATAAACCAGGAATTAACAAGCTGTGATGTTGCTCAAGCTTCAGGATTATCTCAACCAGGTCGAAGAACACAGTTTTTGATAATCCTTCAGAAAAAGCAAAGACAGATTAATGCTATTATACAAACAAGTTCACAACATCACATTCATGTTTCTACATTGTTAATCATTTGCCAGTATAAAACTTGATACTATTACTCTAGATTATTTCTCTTTTGTATTTTATATGTAAATTATTATATCTATTATAAATTGACTGATGCTGTAATAATTTTAACCACAAATAAATACATAATTGATTTTTTTTTAAATATATTTTTAAGATGAATAATAATTATTGCTTTATTACTTGTTTGTAGATAGTTTTCTTTTGTAGATATCATCATCTGATAGAATATGCCATTCATGCTGGATGAGTTGTAAGAGTGCTGCCACACATATTAGGCATGTTTCTGAAGATAATTTATTTTTTATGTTTCTGAGATTAAGTTACTAGTGAACTCATACTATTTGCATTAGGTACCAAATAAGGCAAGCCAAATCCTATTATGGCGAACATATTCGCTTTCATGGATCATATAGAATAGAAATATGTAGGGACACAGGAGTTTTCTAGGAATAATCTGAGAGGAAGTGGTGACATAACACTAATAAGAGGAAAAATTAAGTCCTGGCACATTTAAAGAAAACAATATTATGTCTACATTTTAATAGAAAATAATGTGTCTGGAAAAGCTAGTATAGTCGAATACTGTTGTAATTGTTTAGTTGGTTGGTGAACCATAGGATGTTGCACTCATGTTATGACTAGTGTGGTACTTCGGATGAACTATCAAGAAAATATCTCTGTTATAGCAGAATTTCTGGATAACATAGTTATTAGAAATTTAAGTGAAGATGATGATAATTAATAAAGCATTCCACTGTAACATAGTGTTTTATTTTTTCCCCCGTTTTATTCATCAGGAATTATAATTATCGATTATTATGTATTGTAGTGCAGGCCAATGAAATGTGTAGGGCAGATAAATGATCATTTTTAACTTACGTTAATTTAGTAAGTACTCAGCTGTTGAAACAGCAGATAATGCTCTTCACTCAAGTTATAGTGACAATAATCGAGTCTAAGCAGTGACGTAAGGGCAGTCGGTTTCTAGGAATTCACAAGTAAAAAAGACGTTTTAGACCTTAGATAGGCTAATATTATTATTTTAGAATAAACTTGAGCCTACATAGTTAGTTCTAGCACATTTATTTCGTTATATAGGTAGGTAACTGCAAATCCTAGCCTATAAAGTAACATTTTTTAATAATTTTTGGACTTCGTAGACCAGCAATCGTAAAAATGACTATATGATATTAATTTACTAATTTAAAGGTAGTCTTTCTGCTATACCTTGTAACTATACATACACTTT